TATGTAAGTGCACCCCGGAACATGAAAGCCTGCGGATGTGGATGGTCTCCACAGGATCCCACCACCATGATCCCACCACCATGTGGGTACTGGGAGCTGAATCTGGATCCTCTGCAAGAACAGTCAGTACTCTTAGCTGCTGAGCCATCTCTCTAGCCCTGGAACTTGCTCATTTTAATGTAGTCAGAATTTAACACAGTTTTATTAAACAGCTAGTTTGCTTTATATTTTTTGTTTACCTTTATGTATGTATGTATGTCTGCATACATGTACACACACACATGCATGCCATGGTCCATCTGTGGTCAGAGGACAACTTACAGGAATCAGTTTTCTCCTTCCACCATGTGAGTCCGTCCCGGGGATTGAGCTCTCGTTGTCAGTCAGGGTGCCTCTACTCACTGAACCATCTTGCTGGCCCTATTTTATAATTTTAAAAGAAAACTCTCTTCTCAGGGTATGCATGTTTTATCTTCTGAAGGTGGTTTAGTTTTCAATAAAATTGAAATTACACTTTTAAAAAGTCACAGCAATCCTCTTGCCTCAGCAACCTAAAGTGCTGGGATTACAGATGTGAGCTTTAAATTGACTTTCCAATCTGGCTTTCTATGCAGACGTCAGCACCAATCCAAGTGAGGCACTCCTTTCTTATTAAATTGGAAGGCACTTTAGGACATCTATTTTTTAAAATTATTTTTATTTTATGTGTTTTGCCTGCATGCATGTAAATTCATCCGTGTTGTGCTATGACTGCAGAGGTCAGAGGAGGGTGTTGGATCCCTGGTACTGGGGTTATGGACCATTGTTAGCCCCATGTGGGTACTGGGAACTGAACCTGGATGCTCTAACCACTGAACAATCTCTCCAGCTTCTAGGGCATCTATCTGTGATCATGGTGCTTGCCACCATGTTTTGGGCAGCAACATTTGCTGAAGGAATGCATTTTTTACCTTTTACCAGGGAGTACGCTGCTCCCGAAGTGCCCAGATAATGATTTAATACCTTGTAGCCCCACCAGGTGGTGTGGCAAGACTGCCTAGCGCAGGGCGTACTCAGCAAAGGCGGCAGGTGCACAGTGCCGAGCTGCTAAGGCAGTGGTTCTTGGTGTGAAAGAAGAGGAAGGGGCGGGAGGAGAGAGAAGCCGCCTTGGTACTCACTGACAGCTGAGCCCCGAGCTGGGACAGGCACGAAGAGACCCTCATGTTTACCGTGACGAGCGTCTCACCTTGGCCAGAGCCCAGCTTCATAGTTCTCCTCTGCTCCATCCCCGGTCCAGCAGACCTTGGTAATCCTGGCTGGTGTGAGCCCAGAGCTCCTCCATTTGTTCTCTTTCTTGGTAGATGACTTCTGCCAGGTTCTGCTGCCTAACCACCCTTCCCGGAGTTCCCGGCTGGCTTCAGGCTCCTTTTCCTGTAGGAACTGGGGCAAAGTCTCTCTCCTCCCTTCAGCCCCTCCCTTCCGGTCCCTCCCACGTTCTCTGATGATAGTTCATCCCACTGCCAGCTTGACTGAATTTGGAATCATCTGGGAGACACTCCTCTGGGTGTGTCTCTGAGGGGTTTTTAGAGAGGAGCAAAGGTGGAGGACCTACCCTGAATGTGGGTGGTGCCCTTGAATGGACCGGCGAGTAGTGTTCCTGTGGCTTTAAATCTATGCTTGGTGAATTAAGCTGAGCCTTGAGCATGTATGCCTGGACAGCCTTGTCTCATGAGAACGTTTAAGCAAGAATGGCTGCCGAGGAGCTATCCCCAGAATTCCGGTGCTCCCCTAGTTTCTCAGGAGACACGTTGATGTCCCAAGAAAGCATGCTATGGAGATAATGCTATCTTGCTCATTATATTTTGCGGAACTGCTGTATTCTGGCCACTTTATTATTGTTCGCAGTTCTGTGAGCATTCGGCTGTAGCTCTGAGTATGAGAATCAAAGCTGAGCTACACGGGCTCTTGGCACTCCTGGGTGTAGCCATTCTGGTCCCCTGGTTATCCGCTCAATTGTGTGGTAATCCATTCAGGTCCCGCGACTGCCCCCCGGCGGTCACATACCATCCCGGAGGAGAAAAGCAGCTGGACGCCAGCATTCCGTGCTCTGCTGAGAGGCGAGCAAGCAGCTGTGCGCCTGGTGCAGCTGTGCACCCTGGCCGCCGTGCAGCTGTGCACCCTGGCCGCCGTGCAGCTGTGCCCGCCGTGCAGCTGTGCGCCTGGTGCAGCTGTGCACCCTGGCCGCCGTGCAGCTGTGCGCCTGGTGCAGCTGTGCACCCTGGCCGCCGTGCAGCTGTGCGCCTGGTGCAGCTGTGCACCCTGGCCGCCGTGCAGCTGTGCGCCTGGTGCAGCTGTGCACCCTGGCCGCCGTGCAGCTGTGCGCCTGGTGCAGCTGTGCACCCTGGCCGCCGTGCAGCTGTGCGCCTGGTGCAGCTGTGCACCCTGGCCGCCGTGCAGCTGTGCACCTGGTGCAGCTGTGCACCCTGGCCGCCGTGCAGCTGTGCACCCTGGCCGCCGTGCAGTTGTGCACCCTGGTGCAGTTGTGCACCTGGTGCAGCTGTGCACCCTGGCCGCCGTGCAGCTGTGCACCCTGGTGCAGTTGTGCACCTGGTACAGCTGCCTGCTCCATACCTTCCCCACCATGATGGACTGTGCGCCCAAGTAAGTCCTTCTTCCCTTAAATTGCGTCTTGTCAGGTACTTGGTCATAACACTGAGAAGAGCGCCAGCGCCGTCCCTTTCACGAGGTAACGCTGAACCTCAATTCACGAATAACCTTGCACAAGGCATTGTGGTGACTGCTCCTCCCAGCTCTGCACCGTCGGTGGAGCACCTACAGTTCTCCATCTCCCCTGGTCCTCTCCCGTGATGCTGGAAGGCTTGTCTTGTGTTTCAGTCACCTGACCCCTCTTCCTTCCATACCCCTTCATTCATGTGTCATCTACTCAGAGGAATTTAGAGTAGGAGAGAGAAGAGTGAGCTGGAACTCGGCAGGAGCTAGAGCCACAGGGAGGGCTAAAGCCAGTGTGGGTGCTCCTCATGGAGCTGTGGGTGCTCCTCATGGGGGGGGTGGTCTGCAGACGCTGGCCTCTTCATGGAGCTAACATGTGCATCTGGTCTGGGAGCTCAAGAGAGCCAGAGCTGCTCCCTCATGCCCAGGTTGGGGTGGGGTGGTGGTGGTTCAGAGGTGAGCTGTGGAACGGGCTGCTGCCTCACTTCTGCCCTCTACATCTTGAATGAGAAATCTCCCTGTGCCCTCCCCCAACCAGAAGCACAAACATTGCCTCACCAGGACGGAAGAGGTGGCATACATCTGCCGTCCCAGATGGGAGAGGCTAAGACAAGCCTGAGAATTCAAAGCCAGCCTGGGCACATAGACTGTCTCAGAAACAGACACACAAACACAATTTCCCAGCCCAGCTGATATAGTGTAAGGCTACTACACAATTTTTTAGTGTGAGAAATTTCAAACCGAACAGACACTGAACAACACATGGTTGCCCCTCAAAAAATTAAAAATAGCATTATTTCACAATCCACTCCTGGCTATAAACCCAAAGAATTAAAAGCAGGGTCTCAGAGACATGTTTGAACACCGTATTCATGGTGGCAGCATTTACAGCAGCCAAAAAGGCCGACACAAACTAGTGTACTAATGACCCGTGTACTTTTTCAGTGGGTCAATCTTAGCTAAAACCGGATGCTTCTCTCTGCCCCGCATGTTACGGGAATGAGTGGCTGGCTCACAGTGGCAGACAGGTGAAACCAGCAGAGAATGCAGCCCCACTAAGTGTCATGAGGATGGGAAAGAATGAAGCCTGCAGAGACCTGGGCATGCCGGAAGGGAGGAAACCACAGAATGAGCTGGGTGGTCAGCAAGTCAGAAGGGGGGGCATGCAGGACGACTTGGAAAGGGTGGGGGAGCATCTGTGTTACTAGCTGAGAGAGACCTCAGGTTGAGGACATGGAAGGACAAAGGCCCCAGAGTCAGGGAGAAGGCTAGGGAGGTGGACCAGCAGGAGCCAAGGATGATGAGATTCCTGTGTTGACGATTCAGCCAATGAGAATTTCTGGTGACATGGATGTGAGGTGTGAAGGGATGACAGGACGTCCCGGGTGGCTCTGGCCTTGTGGGCTGAGTGAGTGGAAGGGTGGAATTGTCACTTCAGAGGATGGGGAAGATGGAGAAGAAGGGTTGCCTTCTCTCCTCCTCTTCCCTCTCCTCCTCCTCCTTCCCTCCTCCTCTCCACTTCCTTTCTTCCTCCTCCCCCCTCTCTCCCTCCTCCCTCTCCCCTCCTCCTTCTCTCCTCCTCGCTCTCCCTCCCTGTACCACTCTGGCTCCCCAAGCCTGAGATGAGAGGCTCGGTTCCATTGGCTTTAGAGGTGGCATCCCAGCACCTTCTGTCTTGCCCACAGCCTGCTCATTTGGAGCGGGGCAGACAGTAGCAGGGAGGCCTCACCCCAACCTGGGGAGGGATGGGAATTGCTGGCTCTGATCTTGGCTTATGTGTGGCCCCAATAAACCCTCCTGCTCCCCTGTGAGTCCTTTATTCACCTGTAAAATGGGTGCAGTAATATTTACCTACCTTAGAGGTGTGGTGCAAGGTATAATTACTGGTGGTTAAAGCCATGGGAAGGCAGATGAAAGCCTGGTGTAAATGCAGACCATCTTTACTATGAATGACATTTTGCTTTGAACAGCCTGGAGACTGACCTTTTGACTGAGGTCACTTAGCTGTGTCTCAGCGCCCCCCAGCAGACGAGATACTACAGCCTCCAGGCTGGCCACACAGCTTTAAATTGCCACCATCTTAAAAGTGATTTTAACTTCTCTATCACCATCTTCTGACACCCCCACCCCAATTATCTGACTTGGAAAGTCAATTTTTCTATATTACATATAACCTGTTTAATCCAAACACTTTCAACAGGTGTGAAGAGAAGGAGAAAATTCTTCATTTTTAATGAACTAAGCCTCGATTTTCATAGATCAACCTAAACGTCCATGTCCCAGTGAGGGTGGGGTCACAGTAACTGTTTAGGTGTGGAGACTGTTGCATCCTGGGACTCCTGTTCCTGAGGCTGCACTTGCTCTGAGGTTCCCATCCAGATGCCCTGCCTTTCTGCAGAGTGTGTTTGGTGTAGGCTGTAGCCAGCCCCCTGCCTTCCCTCGTGCCGTCCTGGGTGGCCCAGCCCAGACACTCCTGCCTGTCTGCTTCTTGGGAAAGTGATATACCACTCTGTTGCCCAGGACAACAGTTGGCTCTTAAGTTGCAAGGGATTGAAAGAGAGAAGGCGTGGGAAACACCATAGTGCCTGGCCCTCCATTTTCCCTCCTGTCCCCTAAGGGCCTGAAGACATTTGTGAAACAGCTGGACAGAGGTGTGATCACAGCCCAGGCTGAGCTCTGTGGTCGACTCTTCTGGAACAGGAGTGAGACTGTCCTCCCTGAGGACCAGTGGGGAGGGGCATCCAGTACTCAGAAGGGGGATGAGGGCAGCTCCTGTGGTGGTTCGCACACACTTCCATTCTAGAATATTCTGGTAAACCGCTGTAACATTCACATTTGTAGACACAGAAGACAGAGGAGCATGGGAGGGGCAGGAGTCAGCAGTGTGTTTTAAAACTGCTTAGAGTAGTTATCTATTGAGTAACACACTTGGGGCCTAGAGTTCAGGTGCACACGTTGAGAAATGGCTCCATTCTCCAGTTACAAAGCCTTCTCATGGTGATGTGAGCTGTGTGGTGTGTGTGTATGTATGTATGTATGGTCTAGCACACCATATATACGGGAGGCTGACTTTGTTTCTTTCTCTTGATCAAGTGAGCCCTGGGGTCCAGGGCTCAGTTCTGGGTCTTTCCTTCTTCTCGTCCTTCTCTACCTGTAGTACGAAACATTCTGTACTAATTTAAGTTCTAAGAACAAAGATTCTGTCTTACACAAAGCGCTGCTAAACATGTGAGCATAACCTTCAGTGTTCAGTTACTTTGCTGGGCACTACACAGCAGGGAGGTGGTGCCTGGCAGCACACACAGGGGCAGGGGAGCCCTCCTCTTGATCACCTTGGCCAGCGTGGGCGGGAGCTGCTGAAATAGTCTATTACTTGGGTTACTGATGCTGTCAACATGCCTCTAAGGGGCGCACAGGCCCCTGGGAAGGTTAGACATGAACACTTGTGGCCACCTCGTAAGCTCTAATCAGCTCTCAGCTAAGATCTAAGCAGCTTAGAAGTTAAGACAAAGCCAGGACTGGTGATGCAGGCCTGTGGTTCCAGCTACTTAGTAGGCTGAGGCAAGGAGATCACAAGTTCAAGGCTTGCCTGGTTTAGAGAGTGAAATTGTCTCAAAATAAATTTAAAAGGAAGGCTAGGATGTAGCACAATGGTAGAGTGCTTGCTAAGTGTGTGTGAGGCCCTACGTTAAGTCCTTTGTACTACAAAGAATAAGAGTAGTCT